TCAACTCAACCTCGTCAAAGTTGACCAGAAAGCGCGGGACAGATACCATTTTCGGGCAGCCACCAATCTTCAAGGTGGAAACCCGAGGTAACGGGGGCGACTTGTCTTCTGTATCTCTGGCAGACCAACCTATCAGGTTTCGACACTCCTCGATAGATAAAGACTCCAGAGAAGGGAGAAACTGCAAATCATTGTTTGAAGAAGGGGATGATGATGCTACTGTCTCGCTTTGTACGTGCTCTAAGCTATCTAATCCATATAACTTCAATGCTTGAAGAAACACTAAAGGAGCCAACGATGGCAGACTCTGCAGTTTCCCACAGTAAAATAGCCCGATCTCAACCAGATTCCTGAGAGAAGAGAACCAGCCGCTTGTTGTGGGAATGCTCGACCCGCCATAGAATTGCATTAGTATCCGCTTTAAATTCGGATGTGGTTGTAACCCCTCCAGTATTGACCTCTCGTGATCACATCCTCTTCTAGCCGCCATATTATAATTATTGGCAGGACTCCAAAATAGTTCCAAGGTTCGAAGTTGTGATTTCTCCTTTAAATTGGCTGCCTCTGCATCAGATTTATCCTTCACCCATTCCAGATTTGTAATAACCAACCTCCCATTTAGGTTGTCCAAACTCTTCAATTCGCCCAGACAAGCAGCAGTTTCTCTTGAGCTGTCTGCGGCTGCTTTTGCCAATATAAAGAAAGGGAATTCTCTGAGTAAGGAAAGGTTCTCGATCCCAGCTGGTATGCAACTCAAATCCGAACAACCATATAGGTCAAGATACACAAGGTTGGACAGCTTCCCTAAGCCTACCGGCAGTAACCAAAGCCTTTGACAGAAATTCAGGTCGAGCACTTGCAAATTTACCAACCTTGTCATTTCGTTCGGGAGTGTCTCCATCTCGTTGCTAGAAAGATCAAGGTATCTAAGATGTTTCAGTTTATAGAAGACAAAAGAGGAAATCTCGATTTTAGCACCTCCGAGACCAAACACTCTCAGCCTAGTCATCTCCGAAAAGATCCTCCCACAGCTTCTGTCCAACTCAGCACCTCTGCTACAATTCTTTAAGATAAGTAACGTTCGAAGCCTTGTTGCTTTAGCTAAAAGAGCCGGAGCTTCCCATGCAATATCAGACCACCATCTATTTCTATCCTGTAAATCGATTGATATGTGCCGTATCCTTTCAAGATTGACATCACCAACATTAAGAAGGCTACCACTACCAGTGCTATCTACACTCAAGCATTTGATCTCCTCCCCTGCAACTGCGACAGCAAGATCATGCATTAAATCATGCATCTTACAGGACTCCATATTTCCATCATCATCCTTTGTCACCTCTTGAAAGAAGGACCTCCACAGCAGATTCTTAAAATATTCAACTCCAACATCTTCAAGGAGTGAAGATTGACTGGACTTGGTGATATACCCTTGGGCCATCCACAGTTGCACCAACGTTTTCACATCAATTTTATAGTCTTTTGGGAACAAGCTGGAGTAGGCGAAACATCGTTTCAAATTGGAAGGCAAATTATCATAACTCAACTTAAGAGTAGCCAAAATGTCACTATCCTCTCTACCAAGGCTCAACAGTTGCTCCTCGCTTATTGCCTTCCACTCGGACTCAGTCTCCTTGGAAGATAATAGACCGCCCATTGTTCTTACGACTAACGGCACTCCATAACATTTCCTCAAAATCTTTTTCCCTATCTCCACATATCTTTGACTTGGCTCTACTCCTTCCCCAAAAGCCATCTTTTCGAACAACAACAAAGACTCGTGCTCAGACAAACCTTGCAACTCATGCGGCACAATCAGCTTGGTCGCTGTCAGCTTCGCGATGTTAAGACTACGGGTGGTAACCATTATTCTGATACCTTCGGCCGCACTACTTGCAAATAGATTCTTGAAGCGATCCCACTTTCCCCTATCATCATTCCAGACATCATCCAAGACCAGCAATATATGTTTGTTCTTGATTTGCTCATGAAGAAGATCCTTGAGCGTGTCCAAGGCAAGATCTCCCACCTTTTTCTTGGTTATTGACTCCAAAATCCTTTTAACAAGGAATTTTGGATCAAAATTCTCAGCTACGCACACCCAAACTTTACAAACAAAATGAGTTTTGATTATGTCATCGTTGTAAATGAGTTGCGCCAATGTAGTTTTCCCCAATCCCCCAATCCCAATTATTGGGACGACAACAACTTTCTCCTTATAACCAGACAGCAGCAGCATGTCTATTATTTTTCGCTTATCTTCTTCTCTCCCAACAACCACATCAGGGATAGAGGAGTAAGTTTCCCTCCACTCCTTGTCATCCGAGACAGGAAATGTCTGGAAATAAAACTGATTCCTGTCCTGATCAATCTCCTCTAGCTTGCTCTGAATAAGCTTAATCTGATTAGCTATTTCCAGTCCATAAGCAACTTGGTTGGATTCAGAACAGAAGAGGGATACCTCATTCGCAACGACATTGCCATCCATTTGTTTCCTCCGGAGAACCTCTGTGGAGAAGTCGTCCAACAAGTCTTCAGCATCATAAAGGACGGCTTCGAGTCTTTGCAGCCATAGCTGGACCTGATGATTCTTACCAGACTGCCCCTCTGCATCCAGCAGCACGGCTTGGATGCTGGAAACTGTGTTTTGCAGCTTCAGAATGTCGCTTTTGAGGTTCCAAAGCAGACTTGCCTTATCAACTGCTAGGGAAGCCAACTGCTTCAGGACGAACCCAGCAAGAGCAGCTGCCATTTTTGGTTTAGGTGAGAAAGAGCAACTAAAAAGAAAAGGCAGTGTGGTTGCAAGTGACTACTCAATGGACAGGTGCTAGGGAAATGAAGTTTCTGAAGTTAGAGATGTGGATCTGCGTGAAGATATAGAATGTGAGCACATCACTTCAGCAAGATCCAATATGAAAACTTGCCTTTTTCTATTAACTAATAAATGCAGATACATTGACTTAAGAGCCTGCAGACAATGCAGAGCAGCGATAGACCCTCCAATCCCTGATTTGAGCTTCTACTTTGTCCAAAACTGGTAGTGTGTTCCCGATTAATTAATGTTTAGGTGAGAAGGCAAGCCATTGACTTCTGGTCTAGAAATGTTGCAATTTTATTTTATTTTATCAGGTGACGGTAACAAACCCACAACAAGGGAATAAAAGAGGGAAAAGCCAGGTTGACATGAGCAGTAACATACCCAGATGGAAGACAGAACCAAGGATGGAAGGAAAAGAAGAAAAAGAACACAGCCGGAGGGAAGAGATACCTTATCTGCTGGGATCTGATGTCAATGACTCTGCCCTGCTGTTCCAGCTTCCTTCTCCTTATGGCTCTGCTTTTTGTTTGCGGGTAGACCTCATTGTGACATTAGAACAAACACTTTGCATGCACCATGTTTTCTTGACTGAGAACGCCTTCCATCTTTGAACTTATCCCGAAGCTGCAGTAATTATATGGATATCATCCATCCCCAAACGATTTCCGAAACCCCCATAGGCTATTCGTATTTGCTGAATATGGTCCAATCCAGCAGACAGCAACTCTCCCGCAAATGCTCGCATCGCTTTCCGACCCACCGCCGGCGCCAACACCAACATGTTTCCTGTCATCGTACAAAGAATGCCGAAATGGAGTAAATGATTCGCTGGACCAAATCAATCCTCGCAGCGCATAAGAATCGAGTCAATTTGGATCGACGAAATGGCGGGTATACGCAACTGTCGATCACACTATCGCAAGAAGCAATTGCGAGGGGAAACTTACCGGGAAAATTTTTAAATTTTTAAATTTCGTCGCCCTAAACCATACAAATTTACAAAACAACCCTTCATTTAATTTTATGGTTCAACCACCAAAATTAATGCTCCAACCATCTAACCCAACCCATTTAACTCATTCTTCCAACACAAAACAGAAATATCAAACCAAAAATTAAAACCAAACCACACAACACAAAATCCAACTACAATCTTATACATTGACAAAATTTTAGCCGGATTCCGGCGAGTTTGCCGGAGATAGAGAAGTAGTCGGTCTCGATCGTCATAGCATGCAGGGCTCCGGACTAAAGGTAAGATTTCGTTTGCAATTTTTTTTTCTTCTGGAAAACAAGTCGAGCATGTTGAAAAGCTGCCTCGACCGGTGGTCAAGCATATTGAAACCCTGCATCAGCCATGGAACGGACGGGTTGTCCACCTGCCCGTTCCATCCTCCAGGAATGCTCGCAACATGCTCGTCCTCCTGTCTAAGCATGTTTTCAACATGCCCGTCCCTCGGTCTGTCTAGTTTTGAACATGCCCGTCCCTCGGTCTGGTCTAGTTTTGAACATGCTCGAATAACTGTGTGATGTCATAGACCTTTTTTAATGAAAATTCACTTAAATTATGATATTTATGTTCATTAAGTTTCGTTGTTAATTGTGTTTATTAGGAAGGAGGATAAAAATTTTGTGCCACCATCATTTACTAACAAGGAAACTATTATGGATGATTCGGTAAGTAGTTATTTTTTATAATTTAATTATCGTAACATAATTGTTGCACAACTAAATGTTTTTACCTTGTATTTCTTGTAGGGTGGATCCGGAGTTAAATGAGGGTGACAATGTTGATTGCACATCATTGTTTCTAAGTGATGTTTATGATACCCGTGATCAAGCTTGTAAAGCGGCAAAGGAGATTGCCATGAGTAATAGTTTTTCTTTGATAGTGGCATCAGTCAAGAAAAACGATGGAGAAGGCAATCCGCGGATCTATATGGATTGCAACCATGGTAGTAGGAGCAACTCATATACGTCTGATCCCGCAAAGACAACACGGAGCAAATCTACAACAGGCAAGTTAGGTTGTCGTTTCCCAGTGGTGGTGCAATCCGTAAAAATAGATGGCAAGTGTAAGTGGAGAATTCATGGGATTAAGTCGAGGGGATTTCACAATCACAGACTGGAGGTTTACTCTGAGGGAAGCAGGCAAAAGAATGCTCTTTCGCAGGTGGAAAAAATGAATATTAAGGAGTTGGAGGCAACACATACTCAGGCGAAAGATATCAGAAGTTTGCTCAATATGAAGTACGATGCTCATCACAACATGACTCAGATTTATAATGAGACAGCAAAAATTAGGCGTGAGAGATTGGGTGGGTTGAAACCTATGCGGTGAAGAAGAACTTCAACATTGGGTTCGCATTGATTTCAGATGAGACGAAGGAGACATATGCTTGGGATTTAGGTGCAATTATCAAGGATTGACATTTTGTGTTAAAATGTATGTGATTTTAGGTGGAATTAATCAATGATTTTGTGTTCAAGTTTATGTGGATTTAGTTGAAATTAATCAATTGTGTTCACAATTATTGTTGCTGAAAAAATAGACTAGGCATGTTGAAAACATGCCTGCACCACGGACCAAACATTTCACCTACCCATGAACACCGTGGGTTAAGCATGTTGGACACCCACCTGACGGATGGTGCAGGAATATACCCTTCCAGCACTAGCCGTGGACAAAGCATGTTGTGAACCCGTCTTCCTGGAGGTGCGGGCATATAACCTACCCGCCCTTCCGGAGGTCGAGCCATATTTTCTACCCTTCTGACCGCTGGTTGAGCCATAATCCCTACCCACCCGATGGTAAAAAAGATGTGTTTGATGTGTTTTTGTTAGATATATAAGTAGTGGTTAAAATTTTTAATTAGTATATAAACACTCAAACATAACACATCCAAATGTACCTTAAGAAATATTCAACATCAATCTTAAGAAATATCCAACATCAACCTTAACAAAATATCCAACATCAACATTAACAAATATCCAACATCAACCTTAACAAATATCCAACATCTAAACGTCCTCAATCGATCCACTCCACCCTGTCGAGCGTAGAACTGGAAAACAGACATCTTCCGAGAATCCAAACTCGATGTCCACAAGCGATGAGCTATGTGACCACCGAAACTAGGGATCAAACTGATATCCCTAGGGCCTCCTGGAGCTTCTTTTGTAAGCAGCCACGTCTCGTCCCTCGGTTTCTTCCGTGAAGGCCTGCTCCCATCAGAGGACGAAGCAAAACGCCCATCCTTGCCGCGTAGCGGCCCAACAAGAGTACTGCCATGGGTCGAGCCAGTAGACACATGATCACTCGAACCTCCGGGATGACCGTCGAAAAACAACTCATGAAAAGACAACTCATCATCACCCTCCACATCACACTCATCATCACTGCTATCGTCATCCTCCACCATGTCATCATATGTGTTGATGCCTGGTATCGGCTGGGAAACATGGCTATGAGTGGGAGGAACCACTGCAGCTTGACGACGCGAAAGCTTCTCCTGACGCTCCTCCTCACGAAGTCTATCTGACTCCTCCTGACGTTTTTTTCCGCTCAGATACTGTAACGTTGCGTCCGAGAACCCTCGATTTTTCCTTGCCCCTTCTTTCGCTCATTGTTGCCTGCTATCAAGAAAATAAAATTATTTATTTTCAGAATTGTAATTGACAACCATACATCTTTTAACTATACATAATAATTATTTACAACCATAAAATTTATGAATTCCAATACTTATTATATTATCAAATACTAATTATATTAATCATCACAATTCATATACTAATTCTTACCCTTTCTTTCGCTTATTTTTACCAACTATCAAGAAAATAAAATTAATTCTTCTAGTATTGCAATTAACAATCCTATATTCATTAACTATTTATAATCATTATTAACAATCAACAACTTTTTCAATTCAAATAATCATTAACATTTGCATTTTAATTGGAAAAAAAAAATCAAAACGGGTCGTGAAATGGGTCGGACCAGAGTCCGGGCAGGGCAGAGACCGGATCGGGCCAGGGTCCGGGCGGGGCAGAGACCGGATCGGGCCAGGGTCCGGGCGGGGCAGAGATCGGATCGGGCCAGGGTCCGGGCGGGTCAGAGACCGGATCGGGCCAGGGTCCGGGCGGGTCAGAGACCGGATCGGACCAGGGTCGGAGCAGGTGGGCTTCCTGGCTCTGCCGGATCCGCGCGGGTGCCCTGCCTGCGTCTACCCAGGCCCTAATCGGACGCCCTACCTGCCTCTGGCCACTGGCGACGGGTTTTCAACCCGCGACGTCGGCGTAACTCAAGAACTGAATTTCTCCTCAAGAAATATCCAAGAGAGGGAGAGGGAGAGGGAGAGGGAGAGATTTACCTTCGGCGGGTCTGAGCAGAAGCAGAGGGCTAGGGGCGGGCGATGATTTGGAGGCTTCTCCTTCCTCCTCGGCGACAGTGCGTCGGTTCTGGGCTTGGGCGAAGATGCTGGCGGCGACGGATCTGGGTGGCGGCGACGAGTCTTGGTGGTGGAGGCGAGTCTAGGCGAGGGTCTGGTTGACGGTGGCGACGGGTCTGGGTGAGGGTGATGCTGGCGGCGACGGCGGAGGGTGAAGCGCTGCTGGGTGAAGGCGAGTCTGGGCGAGGGGTCTGGTTGACGGCGGCGACGGGTCTGGGTGAGGGTGATGCTAGCGGCGACGGCGGAGGGTGAAGCGCTGCTGGGTGAAGGCGATGCTGGCGGCGGGTGGCGGAGGGTGAACCGCTGGGTGGGTGAGGGCGATGCTGGCGGCGGGTGGCGGAGGTTTTTTCTTCTGAGTGAGGGCGATGTTGGCGGCGGGTCTGGGTATCAGTTGGTGAGGGCGATGCTGGCGGCGGGCCTGGGTTGATTTTTGGGTTGGGAGAACAGGGTAAGTGACGGCAGGGTTAGGGTTTAGATTAGATGAGGGTAAACTCGTCCATGTAGGTAAGTTTAGGGCGATAAATTCAAAAACTTAGGGCGACGAATAGAAATCCAGCTTTGGGATTTAGGTCATTAAGGTTACAGGGTTAATCACATTAGGAGTCACTTATCTTATGATTTACTAACAGATTGGTCACTGAACTTTTATTTTACCGTAACTAACAGGTTGCTCTATCTAACTCCCTTTTAACCTTTTTACCAGCTGTGCTAATTAGCTTAGCGAAACCACCAAAATAAATAGATGTTACAGAAGATGAACACACAGCTGTTAATTTATTGACATGAAAGCCTCGTTTCCACTACTAGATTAAATGACTAGCAATATTATTAAAACTGGAGAATATGTATGAGGATATTGCGTACTTATATGTAATCATCTAAAATATCACACAAGTAATTTAATAATATTTCATCGTTAATAACTAGTTTGTCCTCGACGTTCGCAATGAATATGAATTCCGAGGTATCACTTCGTTACTCCGACATAGTTGAGCGAGAGAGGTAGTTGAAAGCCTTCAGTTGGCACGGATTGTTGGAACTAGTGTGTTCATGCACAGTTGGATTCACAATGTGCAGTTCAGTTGCTTTGAAATAGTGATATGAGCGATCACCAGCATGCATCAGTTATCCGGAGATTTCGAGAACTGCTTGATAGAAATTCGGAAGTTGTTATATCCCATATTTATAGAAAAGGATAACAAGTTTGTAAACTTTCTTGCTAGTATGTTTACCTATTGAGGATTCCTGGTTATGCTACTGGACTATGCAAAGGCGGAGTTAGCTTTTCAAAAATTTTGTATAAACTCAAGTTCAAAACATAAAATCAAGTAGTTTGCATTAATGTGTCGTTTGTATGACTCATTTATAAAATGAGTCATTTTCGAATGTAAACATTTGCAAATGTATTGTTTGTTTAACCGTTTTTAGATGAGTCTTTCATTAATGAGTCATTTGTATAATGTTACCATTAGCCCTTACATTTAATATTTCATCATCTTGTTACATATCCTCATAAAACCCACCACGTAACAAATTCATTCAACCAACAAAACATCTGATTACGAGTCATGTATAATACTTTCTAATTTTAAATAATATATTTATGTTGAATTTCTTTGTAAAAGGTAACGACTCCAAAAGTATCACATTCGGGCTAATTATGACTCATTCTTGAAGGTGGCAGCTCCGATGACACGAGAAGCTAGAGTCACGAGAAAATGATGGATACGATAAGATGGATCATCCTCACCGCTTGTGAAATTTGCCGGAAAGAAAACTAAAATTTGTGATAGACAAAAGAATGATAGGAGAAATATGTAATAGAAATACAAGAATAAAAGTGGGTTTATGAGAAAAGAGTAATGATATAATTGGAAAGATTGAACTAAACGAGTCAATAGAATCATTTAAAAATTTCGTATAAACCAAATAAGGGTCGTTTGGATGTGGAAATGTAATGCAGTAATTGGATCCAATTACCACATAATGCAGTAATTGGGTTAAAAATCCACGTTTGGGAGAGCGAAAAGAGTATGGAAATTGGACCATGGAAATTGGCTTCAATTACCACATTCATGGTAATTGAGAATACTACACCTCCCCCTAGTAATTTGACATTACCACGTTTTCTTACTTCTTTTTTCAAATTCGACACTATCAATTCCCACAAAACTAAACCCTATCCAAACATGAATTTTTTTCAATTTCCACAAGTCAATTCCTTGGTTTTGTAAAACATGGAAATTCAGACAAATTCCAACGTTTTCAAATTTCCACATCCAAACCACCAATAAATACTTTTTTGTTAGCAAATGACTCATTTGATACCATTACCAAATTACACATTCAAAAGACTAAAACGAACAACCATAACATAACACAGAAATCATGTTAGTCTACCGGATCACATGGGAGTGTGATATATGTATGATTGGTTAAATGGTCGATGACTACACCTGGTGTTTTTTTTACGCAATATTAAGATACGCTAACGCTATTAATTTTTTGTGTTTCTTTTCTAATCTACATTGAACATGCAATGATTAAAGTTTTGATTTTGCTACGGTGACATGGACTTTTCGGTCGACCTAATCCACAAGGCGGTCGACCGAATTGACAAATTCAGTTATGTGAGGTTCAGAGACGCAGTCGACCGTCTACATAAAATGGTCGACCTCTTTGGTGGTATAACAGAATGAAAGGTCGACCCAAAAACCTCATAGGCCGACCCTTGTGCACCTATCTGGTAAACCTCATTAGTAAGAGGTCGACCGCATGCACACCGTATCCGTATTGGATAAGGATTCCAACAGCAGAAAGGTTCCACAATTGGACAAGAAGACGAATTGGATCGACCCATTCACGTCCTAAATCTCTATAAATATGAATATAAGTCCCCTTCAACGCCACCAAAAGTCTGAATTAGGTTTTTTTTTCGTTAGAGCCTTTGTGAAGAAGATTGTTCGCGGTTGCTGTTATACGTGTCGAAAGTGGTCGACCACGTCTAAGGTGAGGTCGACCTAATGTAGCATTCGCCGTCATCTTCCCTAATGCGTGATTTCCACCAAAAATAACAACTTAAACTAAGTGCGGTCGACCAGGTGGTCGTTGAGGTCGACCGCAATTAGTCAATTCGGTCGACCGCCTTCAGGATTAGGTCGACCGAAAAGTCCATGTTACGATGACATGCATGTCATAGTAGGCATACCCTTAAAGTTTTTACTTTAGATCTTATTTTGAGTGAAAGTGGAATATGCTATACGAGACACAATTTTCGACAATGAAAATATGATGTAGTATATAATATTGAAATGCATTATTAATTTTTTTATTTCTTTTTAATTTTACATTGAACCTATCATGCTAGAAATTTGTAGTTAGATCTTAATTCTTGAGGTTTTTCCTTTTTGTGAAAGAGAGCGCAAAAAGGTCATATAACCTTTAATTAAACATATTTTAGTTAATTTATTCATCTTGAAAGTACATTTATCATAATATTAAAAACATTATTAATTTTAATATTTTTATGATAATAGAGTAAGAAATCCACCCCCACGGCCCCACCCTCCAATTAGGGGTGGCTATACGGTCCGGTCCGGTTAAATTGGCCCAAATTGATCCGGTCCAGTCCGGGTTTTTTGAGAATATAATGACCGAAGATTGGATTGGATACAATCCGATCTTGATCCGGTCCGGTCTTGACCCGGTCCGGTCCCAATTCGGTCTTGATTTTATATTGAGATTGTGGGAATTTGAGTGGCCTAAGGCCTAAAAGGGTGAGGAGTTGGTTAAGTTTTGTACTAAGTGTAAAGGTTTGTGACCGTTTATGCAAATTACCCTTAAGTTTTGGGTGTTGAGCTCTCTTATCCTGTCTTTATCCGGTTTTTTACCTCAAATCTAAGCCCAAAAATTGGATTGAATTGTTTACTATCCGGTCCCAGTCCGGTCTCGATCCAGGTTATACGGTCCGGTTTCCGGTTTTTTATCCGGTCCCGGTCCAAATAGCCAGCCCTACCTCCAATGTCAAATGCTGGCTCCGTATGATTCTCGAAACTTTTCGAACCTTGTTTAGTCCTATCCTCCTCCTATCCTTCCTCCTCCTCCTATCCTATCCTATCCTCCTCCTACCAATATATATAGATGTTCCCTGGCATAACATATATAATTGTAAAATTGGAACTTCCTGCGCAACTTTAGGAAGGGCTCCCCAGTCTTTTCCAACCAAGCACTTTTTTGTTGCAATTTCGGTTTCCTGCTTCAACATGTATGGGCTTGGGCTCAAATTATTCCTTGACCATGCCTTTCTATTCGCACATTAAATAAGTATTCAAACACTTCAAAATTTTCAATTAGTAGTAGGAAAGTATAGTAGCGGTCCTTTGAAGCAAGCAAAGTTCAAGTATTAGTCTCCATTTTCCAAAACATGAGGGGTGGTCCTGATCGGACCAAATTCAGGAAAATCGTGGTCCAATTGTAAAAGATATCTTAGAAAGATTAATGACCGAATCAATAGTGCATTCGGTCCACTTTGGTCTGTAACCTCATCAATCGTACATATATAGGAGACATCTAACTTTCTTTCAGTGAATTTAACAAACTATATCTCTATTTAATTCATAATTCAAAAAATGTATAAAAAAACATATTAATTGTGTTCTTCAAAACGACATCCACTGTAGACATATATTGTCAGTCTATATCATGATGGTAGTACATAAGATTATACCATGATGGTATAGAAACATATCATGTTAGTATGAACATATTATAGAGGAGAATGATTGTATACATATAGTAGAAATACACTAATGATTTTTGTACTAATAAGGTGGCATATTTGGTCATTAGATTCCCCCAAAAAGATTGTATAGATCACAATGGAATATAGCACGATGAACTCATTCATTCTGTGCAAAATGTTTCAAAGTGTATAGTTAAAAACAAAAGTTTCTTTTATAACTAACATGACAAAAATAGCCTTCCAAATCCTCTAATAAAGCTAAAAATTTTGAATGGAGTATGTTTGGATGGAGAACTCCATAAATAAGTGGTAGGATGAGCACCCATCCAATTCAAATTTTTTGGCCTATGTGCACAGTACGAAAGGGCTACCGGATCTTTTACTCACTCGGCTATTTCTCTACTATCATTACTTTTCTTTTGATAGAAGGCAATAAAAAGCAAATTAAAATTCATGCTCCAATGGTTGATAATAATAAAAAAAATAGTTGAAGCTCCAATTCTTACGACATTATAATTCCGATTTATACCCTAACCTCTAATGGTTAAACCACATGCCCCGATTTTCTAAATTCAAACCCGACGTTCAATTTAATAAAAATTAATAATTGACTGTTGAGATTGGTCGGAGCTCATCAAACTGCATCCAACAATCAGATCACCTGG